TGCATATTTCCTCTTCTTCTTAAATTCTGTTTCCTTTCTTTTTTTTGTACCTTTTTGTTTCTCCTTTTACACGTTTCCTCTTTTTTGGACTCTCCTTTTCTTTTTCGCACCTATCCTTTCTTTTTCGCACCTTTCTCCTTTTGTACTTTCTCTTAATCCCTTTGCACCTTTTATTTCTCTTTTTACACCTTCTCTTTCTCCTTTTGCACTTTGTCTTTCTCATTTTTTCACTCTTTTTGCACTTTTTTCTCCTTTTGAACTTGTCCTCTCTCCTTTTGCCACCTTCTCTTTCTCCTTTTTTCACCTTTCTCTTTTTGCACCTTTCCTTTCTACCTTTTTGCACCTTTCTCCTTTTGCACTTTCTCTTCATCCTTTTTTACCTTTAATTTCTCCTTTTGCACTTTTCCTTTCTTCTTTTGCACCTTATCTTTCTCCTTTNCTTTCTCTTTTTGCACTTTTTCTTTCTCCTTTTGCACCTTCTTTTTCTACTTTTGCACTTTTCCTTTCTCCTTTTTCTACCTCTTTTTGCACTTTTTTCTCCTTTAGTACTTTTCCTCTTTCCTTTTGCACCTTCTCTTTCTCCTTTTTTCACCTTTCTCTTTTTGCACCTTTCCTTTCTCTCTTTTTTCACCTTTCCCTTTTTGCACCTTTGCTTCCTCCTTTTTTTCACCTTTCTCTTTTTGCACCTCCCCCCCCCCACACACACACACTTTTTTGCACATTTCCTCCTATTTTTTCCAATGGGTCAATGGGAACCGTACCTTTTCTCTTATTTGTCCTGGTCGATGGCCAGCGATAAAAGGATAAATAAGCCATAAAAGGCGGCATCAAACCTATTGCGGTGTCATTCCAACCCAACAGAAACTTGTTCCACTTTGCTCCTTTTAGTGTGGGGACGTTTCCTAATGGCTTTTCCTTGTTGTTGCAAACTTTGAGAAGCAGGCTTCAGAGACACCTCCCAGACAAGACGGCATGACACGGCTGTGGCTTCCCGCTCCCCTTTGCGTTCCCTCTCCTCTCTTTCTCCTTTTGGGCTTTTATGATTCATTCCACAGCCAGAGGCCTCATTAAAAAGTCATGGGCATTGGTTTAGTCGCAAGGCAAGGCCGGGCCCTTGACCCAAGAGGAAATCCCAAGTGGAAGCCAGCCTTTGCCGTTTGGCCCTTGCAAAGCGCGAGGAGGTGACGCCTGCATTGCTTGAAAAGATCTATTATATATGCACACACACTAGCTTAGGTACTTGACAATGTCCGGGTTAGGTCTTTGGTCATTTGCAACACCATTTATTTGCAAAAGTCATCAGTTTTGGGTTTCATTAATGGTCCCATTAGGAAAATGCATCAGGATGTGGGTGGACTACAACTCACATCATGCCAGGGTCAGCCAACCTCAAACCCCACAAGTAATCAAAGTTGGTCATGTTGGGTTTATATGCCAACTTTGGTACAAATTCATCATGGATGGGATTCACAGTGTTCCCTCGGTGCGGGGTGAACTATAACCCCCAACATCCAGGGTCACTATAACCAAAAATCCAGGGCCAATCCCACCCAAAGCTGGTCATTGGAAGGGGAGGGGGTGTCTGTGTGACAGGTTTGGTCCAGATCCATCATAGGTGGGAATCGCAGTGCTCTCTGGACATGTGGTGAACTACATATCCCAACATGCGGAGTCATTTCTCCAAACCCTTCATAAAATCCAAAAAAAGGCAATAACAGCAGCATTAAATGGAGGGAAAAAAGGTGTTGGGGGTCCTCCAATGTTAGGAATTGTGGGAGTTGAAGTCCAAAACACCTGGAGGGTCCAAGTTTGCCATCATTGGGGGTCCTCCAATGTTAGGAATTGTGGGAGTTGAAGTCCAAAACACCTGGAGGGTCCAAGTTTGCCATCATTGGGGGTCCTCCGATGTTTGGAATTGTGGGAGTTGAAGTCCAAAACACCTGGAGGGTCCAAGTTTGCCATCATTGGGGGTCCTCCGATGTTAGGAATTGTGGGAGTTGAAGTCCAAAACACCTGGAGGGTCCAAGTTTGCCATCATTGGGGGTCCTCCGATGTTAGGAATTGTGGGAGTTGAAGTCCAAAACACCTGGAGGGTCCAAGTTTGCCATCATTGGAGGTCCTCCATGTTAGGAATTGTGGGAGTTGAAGCCCAAAACACCTGGAGGGTCCAAGTTTGCCATCATTGGGGGTCCTCCAATGTTAGGAATTGTGGGAGTTGAAGCCCAAAACACCTGGAGGGTCCAAGTTTGCCATCATTGGGGGTCCTCCAATGTTAGGAATTGTGGGAGTTGAAGCCCAAAACACCTGGAGGGTCCAAGTTTGCCATCATTGGGGGTCCTCCAATGTTAGGAATTGTGGGAGTTGAAGCCCAAAACACCTGGAGGGTCCAAGTTTGCCATCATTGGGGGTCCTCCAATGTTAGGAATTGTGGGAGTTGAAGCCCAAAACACCTGGAGGGTCCAAGTTTGCCATCATTGGGGGTCCTCCAATGTTAGGAATTGTGGGAGTTGAAGTCCAAAACACCTGGAGGGTCCAAGTTTGCCATCATTGGGGGTCCTCCGATGTTAGGAATTGTGGGAGTTGAAGCCCAAAACACCTGGAGGGTCCAAGTTTGCCATCATTGGGGGTCCTCCAATGTTAGGAATTGTGGGAGTTGAAGCCCAAAACACCTGGAGGGTCCAAGTTTGCCATCATTGGGGGTCCTCCAATGTTAGGAATTGTGGGAGTTGAAGCCCAAAACACCTGGAGGGTCCAAGTTTGCCATCATTGGGGGTCCTCCAATGTTAGGAATTGTGGGAGTTGAAGCCCAAAACACCTGGAGGGTCCAAGTTTGCCATCATTGGGGGTCCTCCAATGTTAGGAATTGTGGGAGTTGAAGCCCAAAACACCTGGAGGGTCCAAGTTTGCCATCATTGGGGGTCCTCCAATGTTAGGAATTGTGGGAGTTGAAGCCCAAAACACCTGGAGGGTCCAAGTTTGCCATCATTGGGGGTCCTCCAATGTTAGGAATTGTGGGAGTTGAAGCCCAAAACACCTGGAGGGTCCAAGTTTGCCATCATTGGGGGTCCTCCAATGTTAGGAATTGTGGGAGTTGAAGCCCAAAACACCTGGAGGGTCCAAGTTTGCCATCATTGGGGGTCCTCCAATGTTAGGAATTGTGGGAGTTGAAGCCCAAAACACCTGGAGGGTCCAAGTTTGCCATCATTGGAGGTCCTCCAATGTTAGGAATTGTGGGAGTTGAAGCCCAAAACACCTGGAGGGTCCAAGTTTGCCATCATTGGGGGTCCTCCAATGTTAGGAATTGTGGGAGTTGAAGTCCAAAACACCTGGAGGGTCCAAGTTTGCCATCATTGGGGGTCCTCCAATGTTTGGAATTGTGGGAGTTGAAGTCCAAAACACCTGGAGGGTCCAAGTTTGCCATCATTGGGGGTCCTCCGATGTTAGGAATTGTGGGAGTTGAAGTCCAAAACACCTGGAGGGTGAAAGTTTGCCATCATTGGAGGTCCTCCAATGTTTGGAATTGTGGGAGTTGAAGCCCAAAACACCTGGAGGGTCCAAGTTTGCCATCATTGGGGGTCCTCCAATGTTAGGAATTGTGGGAGTTGAAGTCCAAAACACCTGGAGGGTCCAAGTTTGCCATCATTGGGGGTCCTCCGATGTTTGGAATTGTGGGAGTTGAAGTCCAAAACACCTGGAGGGTCCAAGTTTGCCATCATTGGAGGTCCTCCGATGTTAGGAATTGTGGGAGTTGAAGCCCAAAACACCTGGAGGGTCCAAGTTTGCCATCATTGGGGGTCCTCCGATGTTAGGAATTGTGGGAGTTGAAGCCCAAAACACCTGGAGGGTCCAAGTTTGCCATCATTGGGGGTCCTCCAATGTTAGGAATTGTGGGAGTTGAAGCCCAAAACACCTGGAGGGTCCAAGTTTGCCATCATTGGGGGTCCTCCAATGTTAGGAATTGTGGGAGTTGAAGTCCAAAACACCTGGAGGGTCCAAGTTTGCCATCATTGGGGGTCCTCCAATGTTAGGAATTGTGGGAGTTGAAGCCCAAAACACCTGGAGGGTCCAAGTTTGCCATCATTGGGGGTCCTCCGATGTTAGGAATTGTGGGAGTTGAAGCCCAAAACACCTGGAGGGTCCAAGTTTGCCATCATTGGGGGTCCTCCAATGTTAGGAATTGTGGGAGTTGAAGTCCAAAACACCTGGAGGGTCCAAGTTTGCCATCATTGGGGGTCCTCCAATGTTAGGAATTGTGGGAGTTGAAGTCCAAAACACCTGGAGGGTCCAAGTTTGCCATCATTGGGGGTCCTCCAATGTTAGGAATTGTGGGAGTTGAAGCCCAAAACACCTGGAGGGTCCAAGTTTGCCATCATTGGGGGTCCTCCAATGTTAGGAATTGTGGGAGTTGAAGCCCAAAACACCTGGAGGGTCCAAGTTTGCCATCATTGGGGGTCCTCCAATGTTAGGAATTGTGGGAGTTGAAGCCCAAAACACCTGGAGGGTCCAAGTTTGCCATCATTGGGGGTCCTCCAATGTTAGGAATTGTGGGAGTTGAAGCCCAAAACACCTGGAGGGTCCAAGTTTGCCATCATTGGGGGTCCTCCAATGTTAGGAATTGTGGGAGTTGAAGTCCAAAACACCTGGAGGGTCCAAGTTTGCCATCATTGGGGGTCCTCCAATGTTAGGAATTGTGGGAGTTGAAGCCCAAAACACCTGGAGGGTCCAAGTTTGCCATCATTGGGGGTCCTCCAATGTTAGGAATTGTGGGAGTTGAAGCCCAAAACACCTGGAGGGTCCAAGTTTGCCATCATTGGGGGTCCTCCAATGTTAGGAATTGTGGGAGTTGAAGCCCAAATCACCTGGAGGGTCCAAATATGCTATCATTGGGGGTCCTCCAATGTTAGGAATTGTGGAAGTCCAAAACACCTGGAGGGTCCAAGTTTGCCATCATTGCCTTTTGTCAACCACGGCTGCTCATTGTCTCTTGTGTGTCTTTCCAGAGAATGAGCTGCGGGTACATCCTGTGCACGGTCCTGCTGTCCGTGGCCGTGCTGCTGGCGGTGACGGTCACGGGAGCCATCCTGCTCATGAACCACTACCACGCACCCGTCACGGACTCCCCGCCGGTGATCAGCACCAACCCGGACGAGAGCGGGGCTCTGGTGACTATCGAGAGAGCATCCGACGGATCCCGCGTCAACGTCTTCCTGGAACCCCGCTGTCCCGAGCGGGAGGCCCACGGCGGGGCTGGTAGCGGGGTGTCCCGCCTGGAGGGGCTCCAGTCTTCCCTCCTGAGGGCCGTGACGGACCACAGCTTGGAGACCAAGGCCGCCAAGGGCCAGGAGCGAGCCATGCTGGCCGGCCTCTCGGACGAAGTCTCCAAGGTGCTGGCCCAGGCTGCCCAGCTCCGGGCCGACTGCGAGGGGCTGAGGAAGGGTCACGGCACCTTGGGGCAGGAGCTCAGCGCCCTCCAGAACGAGCAGGGGCGCCTCATCCAGGTGAGATTGGCCATCATCATCTTCTCATTCTCGATCTGGGGGATTCTTCATGACTTGCCACAAATTGTCTCTTGTTTGTGGCATAATTTCTGGCATTCAACCTTTCAAAAGGCAGTCCACTTGTTTGAAATGCCGTTGCCATATTTTTTTCAGCCTCAATATTTTGCATAGAATTACAGAAAAAATAGACCCCTGATTGATCCCACAGCAAGCTGGCTTCAGGAAAGGCAGAAGCTGCACATCGCAAGTGCTGAACCTGACTCAGCACATAGAAGATGGCTTTGAAAGGCAGCAGATCACCAGGAGCTGTCTTCATAGACCTGTCAGCAGCCTATGAGACTGTGAACCACCGCCTCCTCCTGAGAAAAATGTATAATATCACAAAGGACGACCACCTCACCCGCCTCATAGGAAACCTGCTACAAAACAGGAGCTTTTGTTGAGTTCCAGGGCCAGAGAAGCAGATGGCGGAAACAGAAGAACGGCCTGCCTCAGGGGAGCGTGCTTGCTCCATCCATGTTCAACATCTACACAAATGACCAGCCACTGCCAGAAGGGAGAGGGTTCATCTATGCTGATGATCGTGCCATTACCGCTCAAGCAGGGAGCTTTGAGATGGTTGAAAAGAACCTCTTCGAAGCTCTAGGTGCTCTTACTGCCTATTACAGGGAAAACCAACTGATCCTTAATCCATGTAAAACACAGACATGCGCCTTTCACCTTAAGAACAGACAAGCATCCCGAGTTCTGAAGATCACCTGGGACAGAGAGGGACAGAGAGCTTCATCTATGCTGATGCCATCACCACTCAAGCAAGGAGCCTTGAAATGGTTGAAGAGAAGCTCTCTGAAGCTCTAGGTGACCTTACTGCCTATTACAGGGAAAAACAGCTGATTCCTAATCCATCTAAAACACAGACATGTGCCTTTCACCTTAAGAACAGACAAGCATCCTGAGCTCTGAGGATTACCTGGGAAGGAATCCCACTGGAGCATTGCAGCACACCCAAATACCTGGGAATCTCTCTGGACCGTGCCCTGACCTACAAGAAGCACTGCCTGAACATCAAGCAAAAAGTGGGCGCTAGAAACAATATCATACAGAAGCTGACTGGCACAACCTGGGGATCACAACCAGACACAGTGAAGACATCTGCCCTTGCGCTATGCTACTCTGCTGCTGAGTATGCATGCCCAGTGTGGAACACATCTCACCACACTAAAACAGTGGATGTGGCTCTTAATGAGACATGCCGCATTATCACGGGGTGTCTGCGCCCTACACCACTGGAGAAATTACACTGTCAAACCAGTATTGCACCACCTGACATCCGCCGGGAAGTGGCAGCCAATAGTGAAAGGACCAAGGCAGTGACATCTCCAGCTCATCCCTGTTTGGGTATCAGCCAGCACGTCAACGACTTAAATCTAGAAATAGTTTTCTAAGATCTACAGAGACATTTGCCGGAACACCTCAGCAAGTGAGAGTCCAAAAGTGGCAGGCTCAGACTCAGAACCTCAATTGATGAGAGACTTTCTCCTGGGCACACAGAGGACTGGGTGACTTGGAAGGCGCTGAACAGACTGCCCTCTGGCACCATGAGATGCAGAGCCAACCTCAAGAAATAGGGCCACAAAGTGGAATCCACAACATGCGAGTGCGGAGAAAAGCAATCAACAGATCACCTGCTGCAATGCAACCTGAGCCCTGCCACATGCACAAGGGAGGATCTTCTTGCAGCAACACCAGAGGCACTCCAAGGGGCCAGATACTGGTCAAATGACATTTCATCAACTACCAAGCTTGCAAACTTTGTTTTTTGTCTGTTTGTTTGTTTGTTTGTTCTGTTAAAAATGTAACACAACTGTTTGGTTGCCTGACATGATAAATAAATAGCCTCAATATGATCTGTACTGGTCTAGACTAGGTAATACTGGGACCATAACCCTTGTCGGGCGTGTGGGCTTATTCACAAAAGTCCCTCCTCAAAAATGCACAGCAGAGTAACTTCTTAGCAGCACCAGTAGCCCAACTGGGGAGAAGAAAGCCTTTGCATGTTTCGCACGTAGGTCTGGAGCGCTCCTGTGCAGGCAGGTAGCTAAAGACTGGTCAGCCCTCAGGATATGTAGGCTTACCTCGGTGAACTTTCCTGCATTGTCGATGGAAGCCTTGCAAAATCGGCACGAATGCCCCAGGCGAAGTTGGGGAGAAGGAGGAGGAGCAGCTCTTACCAGAGCAGAAGAGTCAGGTTTAATAGGGTGAAGGGACGCGGCCCGAACATTTCGTACCAGGAGGGACCCTTGGAAGAGTCCCCAAATGGGAATACGAGGACGTATTTGGCCTACGTGGTTAGTGATCGAAATACCACCTGGGAATTGGTTGACTGCCCGGACGCAAAGCATGCTCCCCAATGGCTCCATTATGGCCAGAAGTGATTATTGGGGTGCCAAAGCGTTCAATCCTGGGCCCCTTGCTATCCAACATTTTCTCAAGGACTTGGATGTTGGGATAGAAGGCACATTATTCAGACCAAATGGCATGGGGTGCCATAAAAGTGGCGTCAAACAACCTCAGATAAGAGCAACGTCGGATAAGCGAAGGTCGGGTATGTGAGACTCTACTGTATACTTATTCCCAGGGTGCACCAACCTCCCAAGTCGGACACAACTGGACTTAATGTCAGGGGAAAACCTTTACCTTTTACTAGCGTCACGTCGGATGGGTAACAGTAGGAGACTCCGTATTATCCGACATTTTCATTTATCCGACGTTCTGCCGGCCCATTTATGTCAGATAAGCAAGACTCTACTGTAAAAACCATGGAATCAGAGTATCACCCAGTACAGACCAGTAGAGACCATATTGAGGCTGAAGATATATAGCAGTGGGTTTGTTGTTAAAAGGCCAATTGCCCAACAAGGGTTATGGGCCCAGTATCACCCAGTCTAGACCAATATAGACCAGTAGACCCCAGTATCACCCAGTCCTGACTAGTACAGACCATATTGAGGCTGAAGATATATAGCAGTGGTTCTGTTGTTAAAAAGCCCACTTGCCAAACAAGGGTTATGGGCCCAGTATCACCCAGTCTAGACCAGTACAGACCAGTAGAGCCCAGTATCACCCAGTCTTGACCAGTACAGACCAGTAGAGACCACATTGAGGCTGAAGAAATATAGCAATGGGTCTTTTGTTAATAAGCCCACTTTCTCAACTAGGATTATGGGCCCAGTATCACCCAGTCTAGACCAATACAGACCAGTAGAGACCATATTGAGGCTGAAGATATATAGGAATGGGTATTTTGTTATTAAGCCCACTTGCCCAACAAGGGTTATGGGCCCAGTAAAGCCCAGTATCATCCAGTCTAGACCAGTAGAGACCATATTGAGGCTGAAGAAATATAGCAATGGGTCTGTTGTTAATAAGCCCACCCGCCCAGCAAGGGTTATGGGTCCAGTATCACCCAGTCTAGACCAATACAGACCAGTAGAGACCATAGTGAGACTGAAGATATATAGCAATAGGTCTTTTGTTAATAAGCCCACTTGCTCAACAAGGGTTATGGGCCCAGTATCACCCAACTTAGACCAATACAGACCAGTAGAGACCATATTGAGGCTGAAGATATATAGCAATGAGTCTTTTGTTAATAAGCCCACTCACCAAGGAAGGGTTATTAGCCCAATATAGCCCAGTATCACTCACTTTAAACCAGTACAGACAAATAGAGACCATATTGTGGCTGAAGAAATATAGCAATAGGTCTTTTGTTAATAAGCCCACTCGCCCACAAAGGGTTATGGGCCCAGTAAAGCCCAGTATCACCCAGTCTAGACCAGTACAGCCCAGTAGACACCATATTGAGGCTGAAGAAGTATAGCAATGGGTCTTTTGTTAATAAGCCCACTCACCAAGGAAGGGTTATGGGCCCAGTATAGCCCAGTATCACCCAGTCTAGACCAGTACAGACCAGTAGAGTCCAGTATCCCCCAGTCTAGACCAGTACAGCCCAGTAGAGACCATATTGAGGCTGAAGAAATATACCAATGGGTCTTTTGATAATAAGCCCACTCAGCCAACAAGGGTTATGGGCCCAGTATCACCCAGTCTAGACCAATACAGACCAGTAGAGCCCAGTATCACCCAGTCTTGACCAGTACAGACCAGTAGAGACCATAGTGAGGCTGAAGATATATAGCAATGGGTCTTTTGTTAATAAGCCCACTCATCCAACAAGGGTTATGGGTCCAGTATCACCCAGTCTAGACCAATACAGACCAGTGGAGACCATATTGAGGCTGAAGATATATAGCAGTGGGTCTTTTGTTAAGAAGCCCACTTGCCCAACAAGGGTTATGGGCCCAGTAAAGTCCATTATCACCCAGTCTAGACCAGTACAGACCAGTAGAGACCATATTGAGGCTATTATTATTATTATTATTATTATTAAAATTTGAATGGCTGATAACCTGAGGGCAAAGGTGGCTAAATAATAATAATAATAATAATAATAATAATTTACTCTGATTTCAGTAGCAGACGGAGGAAAACCAGGCAGCCTTTTACGTTAGCTGTGTGTCTTTTGCTCCCCGAAATCATTTGTTATTAAACTTGTATGTTATTTATGTTTGAAAGCGGAGGTGGGAAAGGCAATCCACCACGTAGCTCCACTTGACACATTTTTCTGTTCTAATAAATGGAAAGCGTTCCCTGCTCCAATGTCTAAACGCAAGTCAATAAAAACAGGCTGTTTCCTGCAAAGAGGAAAGATGGACTCACGCTCGATTTGGCGTTCTTTCTTCTCCTTTTCAGCTGCTCTCGGAGAGTCAGACCAACATGGCCCGGCTGGTCACTTCGGTCAGCGATATCCTGGACACTTTGCAGAAGGAGCGCGGGGTGGTGCGGCCAAAGGCCAAAGCGGACCTCCAAAAGCCGCCGTCTCGAAGCGCAAAGCCCAAAGGATGCTCCAACGGTATGAGAGAACTTTTGTCACTTCCTACGGGATCATTAAAACAACCAAAAAAGGTCACTTGGATGGATGCAAAACTTGTGTTTACACTTGGCCTTCTGTATACACAGGTTTTGTATCCAACTATCTCCGGCTTGCAAATTTTCCAAAAATATCCAACATTTTGTCAAGATATATATATCAAATGCTATCAAATGCTAATCAAGGTGGTCAGTTGAAACATTCACACCTAGCTCCAGCAGACAAGAGTCCTTTGTCCCACCCCGGTCTTTCCACAGATATATAAACCCCTTTTCCTAGTTCCAACAGACCTCACTACCTCTGAGGATGCTTGCCATAGATGCAGGCGAAACGTCAGGAGAGAATGCCCCTAGAACATGGCCATATCGCCCGAAAAAACCTACAACAACCCAATGATTCCGGCCATGAAAGCCTTCGACAATATATATGGAATTGGTTCCATAATATTTCATTTTATGGTACCAAATCCCAGTGGACATTATGAACTATAAATCCCAGCAATTACCACTCCCAAATGTCAAGGTCTATTTTCCCCAATCTCCACCAGTGTTCACATTTGGGCATATTGAATATTCGTGCCAAGTTTGGTCCAGATCCATCATTGTTTGAGTCCACAGTGCTCTCTGGATGTAGGTGAACTACAACTCCCAAACTCAAGGCCAATGCCCACCAAACCCTTCCAGTATTTTCTGTTGGTCATGGGAGTTCTGTGTGCCAAGTTTGGTTCAATTCCATCATTGGTGGAGTTCAGAATTTATTTATTTATTTACAGTACTTATATACCACTTTTCTCACCCCCAAGGGGACTCAAAGAATGCACTTTGATTGTAGGTGAACAATAAATCTCAGCAACTCCAACCCCCAAATGTCAAGGTCTATTTTTCCCAAAATCCACCAGTGTTCACATTTGGGCATACTGAGTATTCGTGCCAAGTTTGGTCTAGATCCATCAAACTATAAATCCCACTGCTCTCTGGATGTAGGTGAACTACAACTCCAAAACTCAAGGTCAATGCCCACCAAACCCTTCCAGTATTTTCTGTTGGTCATGGGAGTTCTGTGTGCCAAGTTTGGTTCAATTCCATCGTTGGTGGAGTTCAGAATGCTCTTTGATTGTAGGTGAACTATAAATCCCAGCAACCACAACTCCCAAATTACAAAATCAATCCTCCCCCAACCCCACTAGCATTCACATTTGGGCGTATTGGGTATTTGTACCAAATTGGGTCCCGTGAATGAAAATGCACCTTATCTCTCAGATATTTACATTACGATTCATATCAGTAGCAAAATTACAGTTATTCAGTAGCAACGAAAATAATGTTATGGTTGTGGTTCAGCACAACAGGAAGAACTGTATCAAACTTGTACTGAATCATTCGCGCAACCCGCAGCCCTTCCCACTGCTTTAGGTATATAGAGATGAGGAAACTGCAAAATGGTTGGGGGTCACCACAACACGAGGAACTGTAGTAAGGGGTCACAGCATTAGGAAGGTTGAGAAACACCCTTCTAAACTGTCACTTGGTCAGTCCTGTGACCCACAGCCCCTCCCACTGCTTTAGGTATATAGAGATGAGGAAACTGCAAAATGGTTGGGGGTCACCACAACACGAGGAACTGTAGTAAGGGGTCACAGCATTAGGAAGGTTGAGAAACACCGTTCTAAACTGTCACTTGGTCAGTCCCGTGACCCACAGCCCCTCCCACTGCTTTAGGTATATAGAGATGAGGAAACTGCAAAATGGTTGGGGGTCACCACAACACGAGGAACCATAGTAAGGGGTCACAGCATTAGGAAGGTTGAGGAACACCCTTCTAAACTGTCCCTTGGTCAGCCCCTCCCACTGCTTTATGTATATAGAGATGAGGAAACGGCAAAACCAAACAGACATATACTTCAGGTAGTAAAAAGGCATTTTATTAGAGAAAGTAAGGTTGAGGAAGACTGCTCTACATGCGTGGGTTGTGCATCCAGGTATTAAAAATATTCCCCCCTAAAGCTTGATTTTTACCATTTTATATCAAGGACACTTTAGAATATAATGGGGCTTTATACTACAAGGGAGTCCTTTCAACCCGTCCTACCCCGATATTGATTTAAGGCTAACCAATCTGTTTGAGCTTTGCTTTTGAAGTCTGATTCGGGGAGTTTCTCTTTCAAATGTATATATACGCATCCAGATCTCCTTTAGTTTCATCCTGCCATGTGATCCATGTGAGCGTGAAAGGCAAAGCTGGAAGGAAAAGTCCCAGAGCCCAAAAACGTGCTTTGATTGGGACTCACCACTTGGCCTTGGCTGCCGATTGGGGCCAGGGATGCCTTTGCTCAAAGCCTGGGAAGGCAGCCAGGGATGAAGGGGGCCGGAGTCCCGGTGGCCAATTAACCACCAAAGCGAACGCGAACGGTGCTGGACTGAGACAATTAACTGGCTGCGTTTCTGCTTTCTCTCGCTCTGTCCCTTCCGCAGGCTCTCGGCCTCGGGACTGCTTTGACCTCTATGTGAACGGACAGCAAGAGGACGGGGTCTTCTCCATCTTCCCCACTCACTCTCCAGAAGGGTTCCCAGTCTACTGTGACATGACCACCGATGGCGGAGGCTGGACGGTAAGGTGACCTTCCCTCTGACTTTGCGGACCTCTCAAGAATGGTCAAGAAAGAGGTGGCCTTCCCTATTTTTAGCCCAAACCCCAAGACCAGTCAAGAAAGAGATGACAGACACACTCCAGCATAGTTGAGATCCCTAGGATGGTCACAAAAGAGATGACCAGTCAAGACCAGTCACAAAATGATGAACTTCCCCCATCTTGACCCTCAGAATGGTCAAGGAACAACAGCTTAGTTGAGGCCTCCAGACTGAAAAAGAAACCAATGACCTTCTCTCCAAGTTCAGCCAAGATCCCCAAACCGGTCAAGAAAGGGATGCATTTCCTGGCTTTTACATTCAGATTGGTCAAGAACAAGATGAGGGAAGCTTCATCCTAGCCAAGGCCCCCAGACCAGTCAAGAAAGAGATGAATTTCCCCCATCTTGACCTTCAGACTGGTCAAGGAACAGATGGCTTACCCTCCAGCTTAGTTGTGGCCCCCAGACTGATAAAGAAACCAATGATCTTGTCAAGATGCCCAGACTGGTCAAGAAAGAGATGGATTTCCTTGACTTGAGATTCAGACTGGTCAAGAAAGAGATGAGGGAAGCTTCATCATAGCCAAGCCACCCAGACTGGTCAAGAAAGAGATGACTTTCCCCTCATCTTAGCCCAGAGCCCTAGATTGGTCAAGAAACAGATGACCTTCTCCCCAAGTTTAGCCAAGAAACCAAAGCAGTCAAGAGAGAAATGACCTTCTCTCATCTGAGCCAAGACCTTTAGATTGATCAAGAAGGAGATGACCTAATCTACCATCTTGACCGAGACCCCAGACTAGTCAAGAAAGAGATGACCTCCCATCTTGACCTGCAGACTGGTCAAGGGACAGGTGACCTTCTCCCTAAGTTTAGCCAAAACTCCCAGACCAGTCAAGAGAGAGATTGTCTCCTTCATCTTTGTCAATATCCTCATATTGGCCAAGAAGGTGGTGATTTTGTTTCCCATCTTGGCCAAGACCTCCCAACCAGTCAAGAAAGAGATGACCTTCCAGTTTAGCCAAGATTCCCAGACCAGTGAACTTCCCCCATTTTGAGCTTCACACTGGTCAAGACATTTCTCTACAAATTTAGCCAAGACTTCCAGACTAGTCAAGGGAGACTTGGCCATGCTCCCAGACCAGGAAAGAGAAAGAGGACTTTCTTCCATCTTGACGTGCAGACTGGTGAAGACAACACAGATGACCTTCTCCCTAAGTTTAGCCAGGACCTCCCAACCAGTCAAGAAATAAATGACCTTCCCTCCCAGTTTAGCCAAGATTCCCAGACTGGTCAAGAAAGAGATAACTTTCTCCCATCCTGAGATTCATACTGGTCAAGGTACTTCTCCCCAAATTTAGCGAAGACTTCCAGACCAATCAAGAAAGAGATGGCTTTCTCCCATCTTGGCCAACAGACGGGTCAAGGGACAAATGGCCTTCTCCCCAGGTTAGCCAAGATTCCCAGACCAGTCAAGAGAGAGATTATTTTCTCCCATCTTGGCTTACAGACTGGTCAAGAGACAGATGGCCTTCTCCCCAGGTTAGCCAAGATTTCCAGACCAGCCAAGAGAGAGATTTTTTTTCTCCCATCTTGGCCTAGACTGGTCAAGACAGATGACCTTCTCCCCAGGTTAGCCAAGACCTCCAGACCAGTCAAGAGAGAGATGAATTTCTCCCATTTTGACCTACAGATTGGTCACGGGCAGATGGCTTTCTCCTCAGGTTAGCCAAGACTTCCAGACCAGTCAAGAGAGAGATGACTTTCTCCCATCTTGGCCTACAGACTGGTCAAGGGACAGATGGCCTTCTCCCCAGGTTACCCAAGACTTCCAGACCAGTCAAGAGAGAGACGACTTTCCCCCATCTTGACCTACAGACTGGTCAAGGGAAAGATGACCTTCTCCCCAGGTTAGGCAATACTTCCAGACCAGTCAAGAGAGAGAGGACTTTCTCCCATCTTGGCCTACAGACTGGTCAAGGGACAGATGACCTCCTCCCCAAGTTTCACCAAGATCCCCAGACCATCCAGGGAACAGATGATCTCCCCAAAACGTCAACAGAAAAACCTATCTGATGGGTTTCCCATCGATCAGAAATAACTCAAGGCTAAGACTGCCGTTTAATTAGCAACCCAACTTCGTATTTTCAACCTTCTTTGTTCTTTCGTAATTAATCCACCTGTCGGTGCGAACTAGTCTAAACCTCCTTCCATTTCGTAGCAGGGATGTAATAAAGCAACGCTCAGCAATGCCAAATAAATTCCATAGTAAGCCTATAGTAATAATAATAATAATAAAAAAACAACCGTGCCGAACTATTTTTTTAAATGCAGGAGAAAATTGGTTATGAATTCCTCCCTCCCCGTCTCGACCGCAGGAAGGAATAGAATTATTAGTCCTTGAGCAGCCTTTCAAAGTTGCGAGCTATTTATCATCCTTTCTTCAGCCAGATCAACAGGGAGTAATTAACCGGCCGAATCTGCAAACAGAAGCTTTTCAATTGGAAGGAGAACTTTGCTCAAGTGAAGATTTACTCCTCAGCAGAAATTATGGTTTATGGGGAGGAAAGCCATGCTTAATAATGCAAGGTGTGGAAGACATGATGTATGGAATGGCAGTGCTAACTTCCCTTCCAATGCATTGGGGGAAATCAAGTGCTTACTTACTTACTTACTTTAGGCAATCCCTCGTAGTCCGAAGGTGATGGTCCTCCAAGTGTAGTGTCTTGGCGGAGGGTCCATAGGTGGCCGTGGAGCTCTGTTCTTGATCTGCATTCAGGGTTGGCTTGATGCACCTTCTTCTTCTTGGCACGTTTCTCCCTTTTGCTCTCCATTCGTGCCTCTTTGAATTCCGCAGCACTGCTGGTCACAGCTGACCTCAGTTAGAGCACTCAAGGGCCAGGGCTTCCCAGCTCTCTCTGGGTGTCTATGCCACAGTTTCTAAGGTTGGCTTTAAGCCCATCTTTCACTCTTATTTCCTGTCCACCAACATTACATTTCCCATTCTTGAGTTGGAAGTAGAGTCACTGCTTTGGGAGATGATGATCGTTGGGCATTCAGACAACATGGCCTTCAGTCCAGCGGAGATGATGGTGGAGGACCATCGCTTCAGTGCTGGTGGTCTTTGTTTCTTCCAGCATGCTGACATTTGTCCACCTGTCTTACCAAGAAATTTGCGGGATTTTTCAGAGGCAACGCTGATGGAATTGTTCCAGGGGTTGTGTGTGACGTCTGTAGACAGTCCACGTTCCACGGCGTATAGCAGAGTTGAGAGGGGAACAGTTTATCAAAAAGCCCCTTGGTCTCTCTACGGATGTCCCAATCCTCAAACACTCTCTGCTTCATTAGGGAAAATTAGGGAAAATGCTGCACTCGCAGAGCTCAGGCGGTCTTGTATTTCAGTGTCAATGTTGACTTTTGTGGAGAGGAAATGATCAACATTTTCTAATGTTACACCATGAATCTGTATTTCTGGCATTGGAGAGGGATTGGCTGGTGGCTTCTGCTGGAAGAGAACTTTGTTTATTCTCAACATTCAATGAGAGGCCGAATTTCTTGTATGCTTCTGCAAAGGTGTTTAGAGTGTCTCTTAGGTCTTCTTCTGAATGTGCACAGACTACGTTGTCATCAGCATACTGCAGTTCTATAACAGATATTGTAGATCTTCTGAATGTACACAGACTATGTTGTCATCGGCATATTGGAGTTCTAATCAGATGTTGTAGGTCTTCTGAATGTACACAGACTACATTGTCATTGGCATATTGGAGTTCTATATCAGATGTGGTAAGTCTTCTTCTGAATGTAGAGGCTGTTGTCATCAGGATATTGGAGTTCTATAACCGATGTTGTAGATCTTCTTCTGAATGTACACAGACTTCGTTGTCATCGGCATATTGGAGTTCTATAACCAATGTTGTAGGTCTTCTTCTGAATGTACAGAGACTACATTATCATTGGCATATTGGAGCTCTATAACTGATATTGTAGATCTTCTGAATGTGCACAGACTATATTATCATTGGCATACTGGAGTTCTATAACAGATGCTGTAGATCTTCTGAATGTACACATACAATGTTATCATTGGCATACTGGAGTTCTTTAACTGATGTTGTAGATCCTCTGAATGTGCACAGACTACATTGTCATCGGCATATTGGAGTTCTATAACCGATGTAGGCCTTTTTTTCTGAATGTGTACAGATTATGTTATCATTGGCATATTGGAGTTCTATAACAGATGTTATAGACCTTCTTTTGAATGCGTGCAGACTATGTTGTCATCGGCATATTGAAGTTCTATAACCAATGTTGTAGATCTTCTTCTGAATGTACACAGACTACACTATCATCGGTATATTGGAGTTCTATAATCAATGTTGTAGATCTTCTAAATGCACCCAGATTACATTATCATCGGCATACTTGAGTTCTATAACAGATGTTATTGTGACCTTGGTTTTGGCTGAGGTCTGCTGAGGTTAAATTGCTTAAACAGTAAATCTAAAAGGCAACATTGTGTAGATCTTGGAAAGGGAACCCAAAGACCATCCAGTCCAACCCCATTTTGCTATGAAGTGGTACACAATAAAGGCACTCTGGATAGATGAGCATCCAAGCTCTAAGATGGAGACTCCAGACTATTGAGCGGTTCCTGGCTTCAAATCTGAGAATCGTGTGAGCTGTAGTGCAATAAAGAGTAAGTTTTGCTATGACTAGTTGAGGCTGAAGAGTAAACGATCCACATTAAGCAAAGGAGACTTGAGAAATCTATAGTGTCCAAATCTGTAATTTTCTGGTTAAGAACCTACCTCTTGAATGAAGTGGGAAGGCTTTATTTCTAAAAGCATACATTGTGGTACAAAAAAAAAATTAAACTTTCCAAGCTTTCAGTCTATTTTTTCACATTGTGTTTGAATTTAAGACATGACAAAGAGAGGGTATGCTTACAAGTACATCTTAATCATGCAATCATTGTCGAA